TCAGGATGAATGAATGAATGAGTAGCCCTCAGCCTGCCTGAGCTATAATAATGAATGACACTCAGGATGAATGAATGAATGAATAGTCCTCAGCCTGCCTGAGTTATAGTATCATTATTAATGAATGACAGTCAGGATGAATGAATGAATGAACAGCCCTCAGCCTGCCTGAGTTATAATATTATTATTAACAATGAATGACACTCAGGATGAATGAATGAATGAATAGTCCTCAGCCTGCCTGAGTTATTATAATATTATCATTATTAATGAATGACACGCAGGATGAATGAATGAATGGATGGAGAGGACGAATGAGCTGGTGAGTCTCACAGATGTATAAACACAATGCAGCAACCTCCCCTCCCCCACCTGTCCACATGGTGGAATACGACACAGCCATGAAAAGGAACGAAGCTCTGAGCCAGGCTGCACTGTGGATGAACCTTGAAGACATCACGCCCACACCGCCCTGCTGGGAAGTGTGGATGCACGCTGCAAAGTGACCACACCTCAGAGGCTGCGGTGCCGTTTCCCCTGCTTGCTCCCAGGCACAGACGATGTGCTCACGAGAGCTGCCCTGGCTCGGGGGTCTAGCTGGCCCGGCGGCAGCCTGTGTCCCCACAGCAGTGGGACCAAGTCACACGTATCTCCTTCCCTAGTTCCTGGGACGCCTCCACCCCACACAGCTAGTCTTGCCTGCCTGCAGGCCGCAGGGTCCTGGGCGACACCTGCAGCCCTCCCTCCTCTGGGATCAGCCCAGCATGGAGCTCTGAGGCTCCGGAGAATCCCACTGCCTTGCAGCCCATGGGTGTCAGCCCGTGTTGAGAAACGCTGAGCGTATGCTAACACACATTGTTTGCTAAGTGATAAGTCACACACTGGCGAAAACAATTCTTTAAGTGCGGGGTATGTGGCCCTGGCCCCAGGGTCCCTCGTGGAGAATACTTGTTAGTTTGGTGAGCGGGCAGCAGCTGCCTACCTGGTTTATTTTTGTGTGATGAGAAAATACCGAACACCTGTTTGATAATAATGATCAGCTGCTCAGAGAGAATAAATTCGTGGGTCAGAGTCTGCTCGAGGCCGTCAGCCCAAAACGCTGTCAGCCCCTGAGGCTCTCAGCTCGGAAGGCTGTTGGCCCCCGGATAGACCCCCTTTGCTGTTCTATCTGGGTGTCTGCTTCTCAATGCCTTCAGCGCTGCCTGGGTGGGGGTGTCCCGGGTGAGCTGGTCCTCAGTGCTCCTGCCTCCGTGAAGAACCTCTTCTCCCCGCAAGATACCATCTGCATGCTCCTGTGGATCTGCTGTCCTTCACTTACGGCTGTGCATCCGGGGTGGGCTTGGTAAGGGCAGGGCGGGTGTGTGTGTGTGGGACACGGGACATGTCCAGTGACTGGAAGGAGTGAATGGGTGGATGTATGAATAACGCTCTGGGCGTCCACACAAATGTAGAGAGAATAAATGAATGAATGAATGACACCCAAGATTCTGTCCTGCAAATGTGGAGGGAATGAATGAATGACACCCAGCATTCACTCCTGCAAATGAGGATGGAATGAATGAATGACACCCAGCATTCACTCCTAGAAATGATGACGGAATGAATGAATGACACCCAGCATTTACTCCCACAAATGTAAGGGAATGAAAGAATGACACCCAGAGATTCACTCCTGCAAATGTGGAGGAAATGAATGAATGAATGACACCCAGGATTCTGTCCTGCAAATGTGGAGGGAATGAATGACTGATACCCAGAGATTCACTCCCACAAATGTGGAGGGAATGAATGAATGACACCCAGAGATTCACTCCTGCAAATGTGGAGGGAATGAATGAATGACACCCAGAGATTCACTCCTGCAAATGTGAGGGA